CATCTGGTGTGAATGAATCAAAATTATACCAATTATTTTGTCAAATCGGCCAAAACTATATTTTTGGATGGGCCGCAGAAGTTTAGTAATTTTTTTATGTGCGCCATGAGATGAAAAAGCTTGAAAATCAGTGCTCTAGAAGAATAAATCAAAACTTCATTAAACACATTTTTGGGGGGTGGGATCACTTCTCTCTTGCCCAGAGTTAAACCCTGTCAATTCAGCATGTTTCTTGGAACATATCAGTAATTCACTAAATGTTTACTGAATAAGCAAATGTTATCTCAGAGAAGAAAAACAATAATGTTCTTAGTCTAATTCTTCTCTAGCAGTGGTTGGGCAACAGTGTAAATTTAAACTGTAATAGAGTTCTCTGCTCTCACCTGTGATGGAATTGTCTGTCAGCGATACAAAGCTCATGCCAAGAATAAGTAGAGAAAATTAAAATGTTTTTTACAAAGAAAGAAAGTCTGCCTTATGGCATTAGAGACCATGAGGAAACCAGGGCCTCTCCTGGAACCACTGTGAACATTGTTATCTCTTGAGCACCACAAGATCGTTTCAATTTCAGCTCTGCTTAAAATGGTCATCTTTTTTATGTGATTATTTTTTATTTTATTTTTAAATAGGTTTCTATTGGTTTCAGAGAGAGAAAGGGAGAGGGACATAGAGAAACATTGATGAGAGAAACATCAATTATAATTGATCAGCTGCCTCCTACATGCCCCATCCTGGGCATATGCCCTGACCTGGAATGGAACCCACAACCTTTTGGTGTACAAGGTCAACTCTCCAACCAACTGAGCCACTCGGCCTGGCAAAATGGTCATCTATTTTACTTATTTACTAGAGGCCCAGTGCACAAAATTTGTGCATGAGGTGTGGTCCCCTCAGCCCAGACTGCACCCTTTCCAATCCGTGACCCCTCAGTGGATGACTGACTGTCGGTTTAGGCCAGATCCCTAGGATCGGGTCTAAACTGGTAGTCCGACATCCCTCTCACAACCCAGAACCGCTAGCTCCTAACTGCTCACCTGCCTGCCTGCCTGAACGCCCCTGCCAGCCTGATCACCCCTAACGGCCTCTGCCTGCCAACATGATTGCCCCTAACTGGCCCCCCTGCTGGCCTGGTTGCCCCCAACTACCCCCCTGCCAACCTGGTTGCACCAACTATCCCCTCATTGGCCTGGTCACCCCCAATTGCCCCCCCCTTGCTGGCATGGTCACCCCCAACTGCCCCCCCCCACTGCCAGCTTGGTTGCCCCTCACAGCCTCCCTGCCAGGTTGGTTACCTCCAACTGCGCCCCCTGCTGGCCTGGTCACTGCTCACTGCCCCCCACTGCCAGCCTGGTCACTCCATGCAGCCTGCTGTTCAGTCATTTTGTCACTGCTCACTGCCCTCCCTGCTGGCCTGGTCGCCCCACGAAGCCTGCTGCTCAGTCATTTGGTTGTCCCTCACTAACCCCCCTGCTGGCCTTGTCACCCCACTCAGACTGTTCGGTTGTCCATTTGGTTGTTTCAGATGTGACGGCACCTGGCTCTTTATATAGATAGATAGATAGATAGATAGATAGATAGATAGATAGATAGATTTTTATCTATATATTTTTATTGATTTCAGAGAGGAAGAGAGAGGGGAGAGAGAGAGAGAGAAAGAGAAGCATTGATTGGCTGCCTCCTGCACACTCCCTACTGGGGATTGAGCTTGCAACCCAGGCAGGTGCCCTTAACCAGGATTGAACCAGGGACCTTTCGGTCCACAGGCCAATGCTCTATCCACTGAGCCAAACCAGCTAGGGCTGGCCATCTATTTTATACCTCATACTCTACCCCTGAGCAGATTAATAATTCAGCAAATGTTTTCATAGGAAAATTGGAGAACCTGGGATCATTTCTCACACCTTTCTCTTTCAGATCATGGCCCAACCATTGTATTTTTGTCTTCCCTTTCATTAATGTGTGCTGTTGTGTTTAGTATTTCCCTTTCTACACAGGGGAGGAAGTTAATTTGTTGTCTAGCTCTTAGTTCTTGAAATGAATACTTAGATCAGTGGTCATTGGCTTTTTATTTATAATCAAATCAAATATCACTTCCAGCACTAACGGTTTTCATTTCTTTGCTACACTTTTATTTCCACTGACAAATTCCTTCCTCAGAGTACTCATTTGTATAAAATGTCGCATGGGCTTATCATTGGAAGACAAGGGAGCAATGCAACTACACACTTTGAGGTCTGTGCTTAAACTGAGTATCATAAAGACCAATCATTGACAGACTTAGAAAGAAGCAATATGTGTGTCACTGATCATGAAGCACATCTATTATTTGTGTAGTGATGTGTGGACTGAAGAGCTAGTAGAGAAATTTATACTTTATACAGTTATAGCTGATATATCATGCTAACTGAAATTTGAAACATATGTTTGGTGGTATCTGGTGTTATTTAACTAAATCATGTAACTGAAATTTTTGCATATCAGAATGATGTAAAATGAGGATTATATATATAATAAAAGTCTAATATGCTAAGTGTCCGGTCGTCCGTTCAACCAAAGCATAATATGCTAATGATATGCTAAGGCTGCTTAACCACTCACTATGACGTGCACTGACCACCAGGGGGAAGTCGACCGGTCAACCAGTCGCTGTGACATGCACTGACCACCAGGGGGCAGATGCTCTGATCTGTATGTTAGCTTGCTGCTGGGATCCAGCTAATTAGGACTTAGTGAAAGGGGCTGGGCACACCCTGGAGCCCTCCTGCGGTCCCTCCCTGGCTGGGCAACCTCCCATGTCCCTCCTTGTCCCCGATCGTGCACCGGTGGGGCCCTTGGCCTGGCCCGTGCCTTCTCACAATCCAAACCCCTTGGAGGATGTCAGAGAGCCAGTTTTGGCCTAATCCTGCTCAATGCAGGAGCTTCCCCCTGGTGGTCAGTGCTCTTCTACAGGCGGAGCACCGCTCAGCCAGAAGCTGGGCTCACAGTTGGTAAGCGCAGTGGCCTTGGTGAGAGCCTCTCCCGTCTCTGCAGCAGTTGGACATCCCTCAAGGGCTCCCGGACTGCAAGAGGGTGCAGACTGGGCTGAGAAACAACGCCCCCCGCCCCGAGTGCACAAATTTCATGCACCAGGCCTCTAGTATATTTAATTTATTAGTTATCAGGAAAATGAAAATTAAAATGTAATATCACTATACACTTACAGGAATAGCCATGGTAGGCAGAATTCTAAGATGACACATGACTGTAGCCCTGGTATAATTACTTCCACTGGGAAAATTATAGGACTTCACTACTATAATTATGTTATGTTACATGGTAAAAGAGATTTTGCAGCTATAATTAAGATTATTAATCAGTTGACTTTGAGGTAATAAAAAAGGATATAATCTAGACTAATCACATGAGTCCTTTAAAAGCAGAGGAATATTTTCCCCAGCTGTTAGGAGAAGAAGAAATTAAATCTGAAGCATGAGAAGTTCTCAATGTAAGGGGCGTTCTCCATTGCTGAGATAGAGAGGCTGTGGGTCACTGGCTGTCAGGGAACTCGGAATAGATCTTGACCACTAGCCAGCAAGGCAAAGGAGACCTGTATCCCACTACTGCATGCTAAATTTTGCTAGCAACATATACAAGCTCAGAAATGGATTCTTGACCCATAGACTTTAGATAAGAGCAAAGATTGGCTACCATCTTGACAATGGCCTGGAGAGACTTTAATCAGAGAACACAATGGAGCCTTCCTAGACTGCTAACATGAAGATCTATGATATTAAATGTATATTGTTTTAAGATGCTATATTTGGATATAGCAATAAAATTAATACAATATTAAATTTTTAAAAAGTAAAAAAACCTGACAAAACCAAGTGTTGGTACAGATGCAGAACTACTGAAATTCTTATTCTATTTTGGGGAATGCAAGTTAGTACAATCAGTTGAGAAAAGCTTAACAAACATAAAATATATGAATATACCTTAGGAGCAATTCATAAGTATTTTTGCACTATAAATTTATGTATGCATCAAAACAATACAAGGAAGTTTATAGATATTTTGAAATAGCCCCAGACCAGAAACAATCCAAATGTCTATTACCAATAAAGTGAGTGTGTGTGTGTGTGTGTGTGTGTGTGTGTGCGCGCGCGCGCGCAGATTGGGTCAGGCAAAAGTATTTCTGTAGCTGTTCACATGGAAAATAATTGGGGGAAAAGGAAACATATGTAAAACTTTAGACAATAAAAAAGAATTATGTAGAAAATATATTCATAGAAGGTAAGTCATTTAATTTCTAATATGTGCTCCATAAGGCAAACAAATTAAATTCAGCCTAATAAACCTGAACTATAGCTGTTTTGTAGTAATAATAATAATAATAATAATAATAATAACTATAATAAGCTCTGTTTTGCATGCTTACAACTCTATACATACTTTTGCCCCACCATATATATTCATATATATACATATATTATATATATAGCATTCACTGGAAAGTATAAGAATGAACAAATTGAAATAAGCCACATGAAAGAGTACACCAACAAAAGAGTATGATGTAATTTATATTAAGGTTAGAAGTAGATAAACTAATCTGTGGTTATATAAGTAATTATAATGTCTAAGTTTGGAGGCTATAATAGTGATTAGAAATGGGTACCACAGGATTTTTAGGGTGCTGGTAATGCCCTATTTATTGATTGTAATGCTGATTAAACAGATGTTCTCATGTTGCAAAGATTAATTTAGCTGTGTATGATTTGTGTTCTTCTCATTCTTCAATGAAAAGCTTTTTTTAAATGAAGGACTGTAAAATGTTGGCAACGCCTAGTGAGGGATGACTTAGTTTAGAAAATGATAATTAAGGATAATGTAATTATAATTAATGTTTTTAGTTTAGTTATCTCTTTAATTTGACTGAAAAGAAAAAGTAGAAAAAGGGAAAGTGAGACTAGTTAATAAATAACTTTGACATTTACAATGAATTCTTTCAATAACAACAGTTTGCCGGGAGGAATCGTACAACTCTGTAGTCTCATGTGCTGCTGTAGTGCTCACTCCTATGGAACCAACAATAGAAATGAGGAAAGGAGAAGAGCTAAAATTCCCTGAACCTTCCAAACAGTAAGTTGTTCATTTGACTTTTAGAGCTTTGTAAAACTTGTAGATAACTGAATTAGATTGCTCAGAAGTTGCAGTTTATAATGAATGTGTCAATACTGCCATATGGAGAGGGCAGAAGTAAATTTTGCACATTAAAAATCAATCTACTGCCTCATGAATAGCTTCTGTGGCTTCCAACTTTGTGTGTTTGAACTATATCCCATCCAAAGGTCATGTTGTTCCTTTATCTTAGGAACTCGGGTAAGTAGCCTGTTTCCTTACCTGGGAATGTGGGTGCACTGTTCTTAGATTGCTTATTTTGTAGTTGTAGGATTTAATGCTCTAAAATATGATCAGATTTTAATATAAACTTCCTAGCTTAAAGTTGGTTTGCTTTTTATAATTTAATTTATATTTAAGTTTGATCTTATATGGAATAAGTGATAATTCTTTTCTTTATTATAATGACAAGAGACCACTAAATCCATGGCCACAAATGTGAGCTATATGGGCTTGAAATATCAAATAAACTAGGATTATTTCTGGGTATGCATTAAATAAGTGAAAAAGGAAAAACTACTGATGATTTTCCAGTGAAAGTAGTGCCATACCTGCTTGAAGTTTGGAAATGAGGTGATGAATGATGTTGCCAAGGATTGCTGGCTGACCAGTTCATCAGTGAGGAAGCGTTACCTTAAAGCACCTGTTATTTTTCCCCATTGATAACACTGTATAATAATGTTTGTTTCTTGATGCCTTTCTACTGAATAAACTCCTGAAGACAGAGTTCTCTGGAATGAAAATTCCTGCTACTCTTTCTGAAATCATTTAGAAAATCCCTTAATGTTACATGTAAGAATGAGTTCAAATGGAGCAATGTATATATTTGATTGAATGAAAATAGTGTTAATATACTTATTATGAGAGAAGTATTAACCAATTCAGAAAGTAATGATTGTAATTCAGTTTTAATACAACCTAAAAGTGAAAACAATTTAACTGTTCTTAATATAGTCTAATCTTTAGGTTCCAAAAGCCTTTTTTTTTTGTCTAATGGGAGGAAAATTACGTCTCATATACACCAATTGAATTATATTTGAAAACTCAAATGTATTATATATAGTGTCCCCAAAAATGTATACACACTTTAAGAGCTGATAGCTAAATTTTGAAAATGAAATGTAGTTTCATAAACACTACTTTTATAATTATTCAAACTGTATTTGTAGATATTAGAATGCTGTAAGTTGAGAAATTATCTTTGAATAACTAGTATTTCCTTTAAATTCATGATGGAATTATTTCTCTTTGTAAAATTTCACCTTTAATTGTACAGGCTTTGCATGATAAATGCATAAAAAATCCATTGAGTCTTTGAAACATAGGACTCATAGAGTCATATAATTCAAATCTCAGCACATCTGTTGCTAAGAAGTGCAGTAATCTCAGTATATGAGCTTTTGAATACATAAGAGTTTACATAAGAAAAAATATGTAAGATAATGTATCTTTGTGGATGTCATAATCTAGGTAAAGAGGTAAAATATGCACCTAAGAGATCAATGGTGGTATAAAGGCAACAGATGCTATTTATCTAATGTAAGGTATGGATTTGGGTTGGACATATGATTATTTAACGTTAGGTCACATTTATTGATATATTGATATAAATTCATGAAAACAAACTCAGAATATTGGTCTTAATTATACCATTGTATTGATATATAATTTTAGAATGTCAGAAATATTTTATGACTGAAATATTTTATATAACCTTACCAACTTTTAGTCATAGCCTGGGGGAAAATATTCTAATTTTTACAAATAGTTTTTAAATATTCTCACGTATTTATAATTTTGTAGACATTTTCTATAAGGAATAAAGGAAGAATAATGCATTTCAGTTAGGAATTAAATATACATTTTTCAGCATAGCAAGCTATAGGGAGAAAATATCTAAATCTTTTAGGAAGGAAAGCTGCATTCTGAGCACTATAGTGGGAGTAGGCGGATCTGTTCTCTTGTTGATATATCTAAAGATCATCTTCATTCAGAAAACAAAGGTACAGATTTTACTTTACTTTTTAGTCTGGTCTGATAGGTAGCTCAGAATACCATGGAAAGGGTAAATTTGCTAGAAAAAAAATCTTTGTGATCCAAAAAGAGTATACAGTTTTCAATTATTTGTTATAAGCATGGGATGTTGGGATCAAAAAGCTGTGAATGCAGAGCTTTATAAAATTATAAAATCCTAATGTTAAAAATATGTCCACATATCCAGCCACACTCTCATGGTACTCAAACTTATACATTTCTCAAATCACAATTATGTGCTTTGAGCAGCTTATGAAATGTACATAAAATTCAAACTCTGAAGAGGACAGTAGAAACCACATTCATGATTAGTTTTGAATTTTATTTTGTGTTTTTATTAGAACTGTTTGTTGAAATGCATGTACTCTGTTTATATATATCTTGACTCAACATCTGAAATAAAGGCATTTTATAGTCATTGTAAATTTAGAAATATAGAGGTGAATATGAGAGAGATAAATTATTCTATTACTTTTGTCAATTTCCATGTTTTTTATTTTATATAGAGAAATCTAAACTTCCTAAGACATTTGGTTTATTGTTTCAATTTGTTGAAATGATGCATTAGCTAAATAAGCTGTATGCACTCCAGGTTCAAGACCTCCTTGTAGTGCTTCATTTGTTGACATAAAGTTTGAGCTGCTTCTGAAAGGGTGAAAATGCCATCATTTAGTACAGAATGTCATATTTTTTAAGAAAGGCTAAAAGTAACCTATTTTATTCGGATAGGTTCTTAAGAACAAACATTTAAAGTTCTGTCAGCTCTTTTTATTTTATCTGAATGAATAATGTATTCTTAAATTTGGAAAAGCTTAAGTACTTTCTAATGTCATCTATAAAGTTGTTACACAAACTCTGTAGCCCTACGAAAGACACATCAAAGACTCCTCTTATCATCTAATCTTCAACTCTACAAATTTCAGGGGAACATATTTATTTATGATTTTAGGTACACATATACTCATCTAATTCTTGAGTATTTGCTTTGTTCTTGGCACTGTGCTCAGGGCTGGGGATTTGGTGTTGAAAACCAAGTGCTGTCTCATAAACTTAAGAGTATAGTCAGGGAGACACACATTAATTGATTGCATCAAGAAATACAAGACTGTAGATGTAACAGTAGCTATAATGTAGAGGTAGTATCCTGTTATAAGGGCTTTAATATGGGGCTTTAATATAACCAAGGACATCAGGGAAAAGTTCTCTGAGGAACTAATTCTTGAGCTAAGATCTGAAGGATATCAGTTAATTATGTGAAAAGGCAAAGGAAGAATTTTCCAGCACAGATAACAGCTTGTCTGAATACTCTGTGAAGACTGGGAGCAGGAAAAAAATTGAAAGAAGGTTTGGGAGAAGTAAAAAGAATTGAAAAATTTATTTTTAACCAGGCCCCAGATGGTTTGATCTTTTAAAAACCTCATCCTGTGTTCTTATGAAGAATATATTGGGTGTGGTGAGGGGAGTGGTGTGAAGACAGTGTTTTGAAAGAGTCAATTTGTTATCATTTCTTCCCAACTCCAGGTTCAGTGATCTTCCATTGGAAGCTTGAAATTAGCCATGGTGGGTGTATTTACACCATAGCAATGGGTAGATCTTGCAAATCAGGATTTTCCCTTCTCCCAAAGAGCTGGTCATTATCTATTTTCCAGCACACTACTGGTGTCTATAGTGAGACCATTTCAGTGGTTTCTGACAGTAGCATTGATTAGGGTACTGACATTGGACATGGTGAAATGTGAAAAGGGAACTGAGCCAATATGCACTTCAGAACCTAGGCAAATTAAATATGGTTATAAAACTTTCTGTATATTACAAGTAATTGCATTAAGATTGGAGAAGAAATATGTATATTACTAATTGTAATTATGATGAAATAATGTAATATTATGACAATCCTAACATGTTATTTTGAGTTAGTAATAGTCTAGGCAAGGGAGACCTTTGGTATTATTTTAATTTATATTGAATATTATCAATGGAACTATGTAAGTGTGAAACCTACAAATGTACTTCCACAAAATTCCTTTCTGAATCATTGCCATTGATTCTCACTGAAAATCCACATGAGTATCAGTAAATTCCACTTAGGTTCTTATTGAAATTCTTATGATTCTTTACTAATAAATTTTCTTTTACACTTAGTCTTTAGCCTTTATTTATCTTCCATTACTTTGTACCTTAAAACTCTCCCATTTAAAAAAGTCAGGAATTGAAGCATGACATAAATAGAATCAGTTTGAGGTCCCTCATTCAAGGCTTCTTTCATGCAGCATGTTTTTTGAGATTTATCTGTGTTGTTGCCTGTGCCAGGGTCCGTGCCCTTTCATTAGTGAGCAGTGTTGTATGGCATGGATGCGTCACCATTTGGTTATTTATTCAGTCCTGTCCTCTTTGGATCATGCTTTGCAACGTCACTGAATCATGGAACCACAGGGCCTTTGTGTGTGGAAGAGAGGTCATAAAGACCATCTTCACCTAACCCTGCCCTTACACTACTGGTATCCAGTGCTTGGTACACTGAAAATGAATTTGCCCACCCCCTGCTTGACACCTTTAATGACAGTTTATTCCCTTAGAGCAGTGGTTCTCAACCTTCTGGCCCTTTAAATACAATTCCTCATGTTGTGACCCAACCATAAAATTATTTTAGTTGCTACTTTATAACTGTAATGTTGCTACTGTTATGAATCGTAATGTAAATATCTGATATGCAGGATGGTCTTAGGCGACCCCTGTGAAAGGGTCGTTTGACCGCCAAAGGGTCGCGACCCACAGGTTGAGAACCACTGCCCTAGAGGATCTTGGCCAGCCTGTCCTGTTAGGAAACTCTTCTTCATTTTCAGCACATGTCAACCTCCCTAGACCATTTCACAGAGGCCCTAGTTCTTGTCCTGGGGCCAGTCAGGCACAGTAAGCTTCCTCCTCAC